ACAGTTTTCGAGGACTTGGACAAATCTGAACTGAGGTCTGGGTCACATACTCTGGGTTGAACGTATTCCCCAAGGTATCAGCCCAACACCTTCCAGCACCCACCACAGGCAGCAACAAGAGAGCAGCTTCATCCTGAAGGCAGGTGGGAAGCCATGGCTTGACTACAGGAAAGACAGGCTCAGCAGAGCTGCACTGATGCCCCACAGCAAGGGAGCACTGCAGAGCCACAGCACTTCTGAGCAGGAGGCATCGACAGGATTATGAATACACTGTCCAGGGAAGCTCAAAAGAGGATGAAAGAACTGAAGGCTCTGATTTTTCAATTTGCACTGAAAACAGGACAGAGCAAAGTCTCTGCATTGCATACAGCAGCGTGCCAGCTTCACTTCCTCGCAAAAATCAACAAAAGGCTTAGCGGATTTTCTTTCTGCTACCAATCTCACACTAGGCAGACTACCAGATGATAACAGACAGTACTGGATATGAATCTATGTTGCTTTTGATGCATTCTTCTAAAAAGCTGTGGGGTTTTTTCTCCTAAAGCAATTATCACTTACCATGTCCATTATCAAGTGACCACAAATGAAACACCTGTCAGCTGACTGCTGGAAACCAGAATACTGCAAGGACAAAAAAGAATTGGTTTAAAATTTCACAAGGCTAGTCGAGCATAAACAACAACATATTATGGGGTGTTATTTGCTCGGCCTTTTTCTGTACTCCTTATGCAAGCTAAACTTTCCAGTGCTTTTTTCAGTATATGAAGCTGTGGATGGGTCCACAGAGGATATTCTATAAAGACATCAGACTTCCACTGTTCAGCAGTATGAGTTCCTGTAACTTTCAAGTCCTAAATTTAAGTTTAATTAAGTATATAAGTAAATACCATAAATGCACATGCAAATAAGGCGTTTACTAATAAGACTTATATTCTTATTTGACCATGTGAATCTACATGCCAGGAATACTTGTGTTTATCACAAATTCATATCACAACATCTGCATATATAGGCTCGGAAAGCCAAATTCTTCCTTTGGTTACATCGGTATAGGTCTAATGGAGCTTCCCCGAGGTCAGTGGTATCGTCCCAGCCCTCTGGTAGTGTAACATTCAAGTTTGGCCCAGAGCACCTTTCTTGCTGCTATTGCTACGATCTAACAGTAAGGAACTGCCTGTCATGTCCACGACATGCACCTTAGGCACAACACATCATCTGTCTAAGGTTTCAGTCCTATCTGAATGGTGGAAATGCAAACTCGAAAAATGAAATATTTTAGACACATTTAACCAATCTTTCCATTTTCAGCCTGTCTAGAATATACTGATGAGAGCAAAGAAGATTAACTCACTTCTGTCTGACAGAAATCACTAGACTTCCCTAATAAATAGGCAAATATGACTTTTTCAAGTCTCAATGAAGGCTTAATCTATGGGGGCTTGAGGGCAGGGGGGGATATGACTTTTTACCTCCACCAGCCAAGGAGAGGACCATAGGGTTCCTTCATGCTCAGGTACATTCACACAAAACCCATTGAGGGCAAGGGAAAGATATCCATTAAGACACCCAAGCAAAACCAGTTCATTGTAAGGGGAAATTCTCTCACTGATTCTTCTGTAGCCATTCATCTGGCTCCTGTCTCCACAGCATGGCCACAGAGACACGCTTTGAAGGAGCCATCGCAAGAGGCTACGGCTTCAAGTACAGGCTCTGCACTACAAAACCATGGTCTTTCACTCAGCTACGTCCAGCACCATGTGTGGGCAGCCACCCACCATGGCTGGGGCTGGCCCTGGGTAAAGGGGGAGCAGAAGCGCCAGGCAGGATGCTGGACTAAAGCCGTGTGACACATGGGCAAAGCTGGTGGGCAGAAAGGTACACATCTGCCAGAGAGGCTGAGATGTGCCAGCACAAGGGTCAGCTGCGTGCTTACCAGGAAATCTTCTTCACAGAACACCTTGCCATTGACAAAATAGAAGGCTTTTCCCCTCAGCTTTCGACCTGAGGAAAAAACACAGAGATAAGGGAAAGGTCAGCAGAGAGCAGGGAGAAAATGTGAGCAAAAACTGGCTGCTGAGAAGTGAATAACAATGGGGACATCCAAGCACGGCTGCTGCACAGCCGGAGAAGAGCACCCAAACCCAGCACGGGTCTTCCCAGCCTCCAGCGCGAGTAACCCCAGCTCCTCTACCACTGGTGGTCACTGATGAACGCCAATTGCTGGATCCGGACAACAGCCCCATCTCCGGGCAGGAGGAGGTGGCTTCGCAAGCCTGGACCACCTCCTGGCAGGAGGTGGCACAAAATAACCTGGCAAGAGCAAGTGAGGGTACTCTGACTCACGCTGGAAAACACCCCAGGAGAGGAGCAAGGAGAAGAAAGGGCATGCAGAGGGTGATCCATACTTGACATCGTTCCCCAAAATGTCACCTCCCACGCTGTTCCACTAGAAGGTGCCTTCAACCAGCAGCTGCCAGATAAGCCACTGCAATGCCCAACCACCCGGTCTGCCTCCAGCAGAGTGCAACACCAGAGCGCTGAACACGTTTCTCTCCGCTCCCTACCAGCATATTCATTATTGCAGCTGCCAACAAAAATTTGAAAGCATTAAAAAAAATATTTTTTTTTCTTTCAAACCAGAATGTCCTAACAGAGATAAGACGACAAAGTTTTTCCAAGAAAGGACTCTACACATGCAGAAGATTTATATTTACTGCAGCTTTTGTGTTTATGCCTCACATTGGCCGTCTGTCTTCCATTCCACATAACTATGGCAACATATGCTCACGCTGCCACCACTTCTAAATGCCCTGCCTTCCCCCTGGGAGAAAAGGGCTAGGTTTTGTTTATTTATAAAAAGCTTCTCCTACCCCTCTGCAGCCCAGTTTCCCTATTCAGCCAGGGGTTTGAAATGCAGCCTAGCACTGGCATGGCTCTGCTTGCTCTGCTCAGTCAAGGAGCCCCAAACACATGCCCGGAGGCAGCGCCTGGGACAGGGGGAGCAGCCCAGGGCAGGGGGGCACAGCTGGAGCAGGACCTGCCGCAGGCTGGTTTCGGAGACTTGCCGGGCCTTGCTGAAGGAAATGGGAACTGAGACACCAGGGCCCAGAAGCCTCCTGCTTGATACGCATGTATGATTAAAAAATGATCATCAGCTGCTAGGTGTTTATGCCAGACAACACATGGGACTGGTCTGGAGCTCACCTCTCGGTGCTTTATGGCATGCACCTACCTGGCAGCCTTCAACGATTAACCACGCTGGCTGCAAACTATTAAGAAAAGGAGGAAGCCAAGTAAAACCACTTCAATAAATCAAGAGCTTTACCATCTCCTGCATACACCAGAGGGCACTCTCAGGCTGGGAAACAACTCGCACTGCTCCTCAGGAAATGGAGATGCTCCACTGAAGCTCTGAAGTTTTTGCCAGTGAATTCAGCCAGGCCAACATTTCACCAGTAGCCCTTGGTGCCCTGCGCAGGTTTCAGCCAGCAAGGCGGGCGGAGGATGTGGCAGCGTGTTTCTCAAGGAGCAAGCCCCGGTTTGCACGTGCAGCAGCTTCGTGGTTGAGCTGCAGGCATTGCTCAGCTGCGTGTTTACCGGGCAGCGCAGGAGTGAGAAGCATGCCGCCCCGACACGCTCGTCGTCCCCCATTCTCCTCTAATCCCCGCTGGAGACAACCGCGTTACCCGGAGGCCAGCCCATCCCTGCACCAACGCCGACCTTGGACGGGGCATGGAAGAAAACCCGACAAACCTGAAAGCATCCTGCTCTGATTTCTCTCACCTACCCTGATGCTTTGCCAAGGTTGCCAACACCAAAACAGGACCCAGAGCCCAAAATAAAAAGTATCTAATATTGGACATTCTAAATTGGGTTTGTGGCCCATAACCCAGGGTGAGTATTTGTAGGATAACCCCTCCTGTGTGCCTGCCCATCCACAGGTAAGCCCGGCACGCTCGCTGGCAGTCGCAGAGTCCCAATCTCTGAGGAGGGGAAGAAGAGGCATGGGGATACCTGGGATTTGCAGCACCTTTGTCAACGGTGGTCCTAGGTGAGTTACCAACAACAAGCCTAATGCAGCAAGAAGTACCCTCAAAAATCTCCCGCTGATTTAAATAGAGCATTGGGATTTGGCACTCCTAAAAACAAAGAAAAAACATTAAACTGTGATTTTAAGTTACGCGGTAGCGCAGGCTCCAGTTTAGTGCAACAGGCAGGTGCCCGAGCAACTTTCCACCTGTATGCAATGTCTCTTCTTAAAGACAAGCTGGCAGCGGCGGGGAAAAACATATGCGTGAAGCCACGCAATGAGGAGACACTTCTTTGGATAATGACTGGTGCGTGAGCAGCAGCCGTCACAGCAGAGGGGATGAGGTTTGGATCGCTGCCACCACGTCATTTTTCCACGGTGACAAAACCAGCATTTACCGGCCATTCTGCACCCGGTATATTTTTAACCCTGTGACATTAGCAGGTCAAGATTGATGGCAACAGACCTTCAGAGAAGGTGCCACAGCCAGTGTGCTGTCTCCAGGCTTCTGCTGCAAGCTCATTCAGCAGAGGAATAAACCCCTTTATAAAGGATTTATAATTTGACTGTTGGCGTTACATGGCCATGAAGAAGAGGTGCTGACACCAAGAGCACTTTGAGGGAAAGGGGGGGATGATTTGATTACTTTCTTTGGTAAAGAAGTGGTCATTTTGACTATGTTTAGCTCCTCTCCACAACTCTCTTTAAGCCCCTGGCAGAAGTGTAAATGGAAATTTGCCAAAAAAGCGAGTAACTAGGTACCCCTGCAGCCGCCACAGGAGCGGTGCAGGCAAACAGAGACAATTTCTTTGCTGCTCTCAGCCTCTCCCTGCCTGCATCAGGGTGGACTTCTCCCACCACCCCTTTGAGGTGAGGAAGCTTCTCCTCATCATACACACAGGAAAGCAAGATGCAGGAAAAGCTCACTTCCCCAGGCTGCGCTGGGGACCATCCCCGTGGAGCTGGGAAATGCACGTTCTGGCTGCAGCCACAGCAGTAAAACAAACCGTGCTGGGACTGCCCCACAGCACAGAGCAGGGCAGCAGCGGCTTCTGTCCTGCGCTGAGCTCCCTGCCATGACAGCGCCTTAAGTTAAACAAGTCCCTCTCAAAAGCAATACTTCTGCCTGTGTGCTTGCAGAGGCTGGCACAGGTTTCTCTTGAGCACAAAGATGCTGTCATAATTTCGCCGAAAGGAAAGATTGGGAGCTTAAATGGCATATAAGAAGTCACATATTGATCACTGCCTACTTTAAATACGCATCACTTTAAATATGCATCATGATGACTACAGAGATGATACCCTTGGATAAACCCAGGAATATTAACGAGTGGCTTGCTGCTTTCAGGCTCAATGGCTCTACTACATGCCTTAAGCTGCTGGCTCCTGACTGTATTTCACTTTCACTTCACCCTGAATTTAGCTAATCTCTCACCTGAAAAAATTTAGACAGCTAAAATTCTTCAGCATTTCAACCCTACCATCTTCACTGATGTTACAAGATTTCTTGATCCTCTTCCTGACAGGAGGTTTGAGCCTCGTGCTTCTATGTACTGCTCATCCCTAACGCATCTGTCTAATCTGTTTAGCTGTGGGACCTTCAGGATGACCTCGAGGTCATTTCAGTACCAATTTCAGAATATTTCAAGCTTAGTCACTACTGCCTTTGTCCTAAAATAAACACACTTTGCTTAGCAGCTGATAATAGACATACCACCAGGCTGCACTCCCAGGATGCTGGTGCTTTTGTCCATCATTTTCTCAAATGACAACTCTCTCCTTTTGAAGTTCATACAGAGAGGAGTTTACCAGGGACTTGCAACAGCCCAAGGAGGATGCTGGGAGATGCATCATTTACTTGCCAGGGAGCTGGACCCAACTTTCTCTTTTGAAGTTGCTTCTCCATTATTTATTAGAAGGACAATGGGGTCACAAACCCGTGTTCAAAGACAAGAGATTGCTCTCGGTGCACGTAACAGTACAGGGCCACGTCCAGATCCCAGGGCTCTATGGAGATGCATGACCAGGACCCCACATTGCTGGGGAGGCAGCGTGAACCTCACTTATCACTTATCTAAGCACCGTGGAGCTCCCTGTGGTACCTGCACAGCAGATGGGTGAGAATCACTGCAGACTGGCAGCTGCTCCCAGGTCCTTTCCATGCTGACAGCCCTGGGCCTCTGCCATTACAAGAATCAGTCCTTAGAGAGCCACACCAGTAAGATAAATTTGGACACGTACTAATGGCAGGTTAAATACAAAAGGATTTCAGTTTCCAGATTCAGTGGATGTAACCTCCTGACACGCTAGCAGGACAGCAGGCTGGAAACACCACCCATCTAGCTGCTAAGGATCAAAACAAGCTCCTCATCAGTCCTGGGTGCCTCTGGCTCAAGCTGCGGTCCTTCCCCCAATTTTCACTTCCCCCACGTAAAGCTGCGAGAAGGTTCAGGTCAAAGAACCTACTCTGGTCCATGCACACCCTGCAGGCAGCACAACAGGCACAGACAGAGCCCAGACACCTCGGCTCCCTCATACCATACAAAAGTCCCTGCTGCCCACAAATCAGCAGCACACGACCCACTGGTGCCGGGCCAGCACACGCAATTTTGGAGCCCTCCATAGACACTGGCTTTGCTGACACGCAGTATGGTGTCCTACCGTGTGCTGCCGACTAGGTCGAGCATCAGAGCTCTACTTAATTTCTGCCATCTGTGCTATTTCTGTTGGCCACCATTAAAGCTGGATGCAGCGCTGAGTCTGGCACAGAAGCGTCAGTATTTCCAATCCGCTCTTGAACTGGGGCTGGACGAAAGAGTCACATAGACGCCTGCACATCCTCCAAATCAGGTAAACTCAGACTGTGATCAACCGGCAGACACCCCAGGTCAGATCAAAGCCTTGGTGAAACCATGGACAGGAGGGCAGGACGCCTCTTAGAAAAACTGCGCTAAGACACAGTAGCTCCATT